GGTGAAACTGCTGCATGTTCTAGGTGTTAGCCGTGTCTTCTATTACTTTTAGTTGAATTTTTCTATTTTTGCGTTGTCCTAGAGTAACCAATGGGGTGAATTCTTTAGACCCTGCTCTCCAAACAAAGCAGGAAACTCTTATGGCTTGTGGCATGTCACCTCCAACGCAGTCATTACCAATGTCATCTGCTGGAAGCTTAGATGTTAATAGGTAAGTACCAAGCAGGTAGAATTAGATTTTGGTCACATTTTCATTTGTAACAGTGTTCTCCTTTTCAGGCTGTACATGTAACTGGTTACATTGGCAGCCTGAAGCACCCTTTTTAACTACCAAACTGAACAACTAATAAAAATTCTTGGAAATTCAAACAGGTTAATAGGATTGCTCTACTGGTTTGAAAATTTCTTTTACACTGTACCTGTCATGCCCAGAATAAGGGAAAACACTGATTAACCTTGTGACTTTCTGGAGTAATTGATTCTGGTGTGTACTGCTCCAGCTAAATTGACTACTGAATGGTTCTAAAATGAAATAAACAGATGTTTTGTTAGGAAGATGATGATGTAAAAATTTCCTTGTATATCCCTAAGACTTTCAATTAAAAAAGATGTTTATTCCATTGTCAGTTTCATTTTGCAGATTGATAGATTGTAGAAAGGAAGTTTAGTAATGATTTTTTCAAGTCTCTTTTCTGCAATTGCTTAGTCCATTTCAGCTCAACCTGCCGATGAGAATTGTTCCTTGGCCTAATTTTTTAATCCATGAGTCAAATAAAATTTATTTCATTAAAAAATTTTGATCAGATTTCTTTACGGAAAAGATGAACTCTTTAAAATTCAGGGCACTCCCAACATGTGGCTTGGATTACTCATTTGGTAGTAACACCCAACTAGTATCTTGGAGGCACATCAGCTTGTTTACTCTCCATTCTGTTCTCTAAACATTTCCTGATGTGCTGACAAGGAGAATTTGTCAACTAATCAAGAGCTTCTTCAGTTGGTGATAATTTTCTTCATTCTCATGACATTTCTGTTTTATTCAAGGGTGATATTGTAAGGAGAATCTAGATGCTAGTCACTCTTAGAGGTTAAAGGGTAAAATCTGCCAAAGCCTGAATCTGCAGACTTTCTTTCTGCAATTTCTGCAATTACAGCTCACCTCATATGCTTAAAAATCGAACACTGATTTTTCAGGTCTGCATTAAACTTGAGGAATTAAGTTTATTTTTCTTAGTTACTGGGTAGATTTGATTTTCCTTATGGAAAGGAATGAAGTTAGTAATGTTGCCTGTAGCTTGTGATACTGTAAGTACATTGTTCTATCATTTAAGTATTTGTTATTTTTACCTTTTGTCAACAGTCTGAGTTACAGGTTCAGGTACATTTTGAAAGCTGCAACTTCTCCTACAAGGAGACTTGAAGAAGACTCCCTAACTTATCTTAATCAAGGTACTTAACCCTCTTAACTCTTAACTCTAACATCAGTATGCATTTTCTCCACACTGTTCTCTATATATTTCTAAAGGAACCAACGAGGAGAATTTATTTAACGATCAAGAGCTTCTCTAGTAATTGATCATTTTCTTTATTATTGTGACCCTAGCATAATTCAGAGGTGATATTAATTGGAGAATTTAGGTTCTCATCACTCTGAAGGGTCCTAAGAGTTAAACTACTGACCTATAGTTGACTGTAATTATGATTCCTCAGGTTTTATTCGTAAACTGAAAGTAATTACTGACAAAGACTTTTCCCATGAATGAGATTGTGTAGTGACATGTAGAAATCACTTTTCCAGTTCTCAATCAAAATGGAATCATAACTGAATTAAAAAGCTTGTCTAAGATGCTTAGAATTTTAATCCACCTGGTTTTGTTTTCAGGGCAGGCATATTTGTTGGAAATGATGTGCCTACCATTAGAGGCTGCCAAATTTGAAGGCAAACATTTAAAAGTAAGGACTTAAGTTTTCTATCAGGGTTTGTACAGGTCCTGCAAAACCTGGAAAGTCCAGGAATTTTATTTTGAAATTTTCTGGGTATGGAAAGTCCTGAAAAAAGACTACAGGTCCTGGAAAGTCTTAGAAATCTGCTTAACTCAAGCAACAACATTTTCAGATTTTATGTTATGAAAATGTTTGTAGTCTGTAACAACAATTGATTTTGAAATCTAATTGGGATTGAAAGGGTTGAAGGTGAAATTTAGAGTCCTGGAAGAATCAGTTTGAGTTCTGGAAAAGTACTGGAAAAGTTGTTGAAATTTGTCTCCAAAAAAGGGGGCGAACCCTGTTCTATTGTTGTTATAACCAGTTGTTGTCTGCATGATTTGGGAGGTAGTGTTTTCTTTTCTAATCAAGGGATGGTTTTAACTTGTTTAGGAAGCAGCTGAAAATTATGAAGTTACTAGAGTAAGTGTTTGAAAATGTAACAACATATGGGGGTAATTTTGTTTCTTTTTATTTGACAGAGCACAATAAAGCTGTGCTTTTATGAGAGAAAACTTCAAGTCCAAGAATCTGAAAAATATGAGGAGTGGAAAAACAACCGACCAGCTGACAGAATGTTGGAAATAGGTTTTTATTTTTAACTTTTCTTTGCTAATCAATTAACGATTTCTATTTGTCTTTTTTCATTTTGAATAGAATTAAATCTATACAATTTATACCGTTCTGCTTTTGTTGTTGTTTTTTAACCATTTTAGATGTTCCCATGTCAAGTGGTGTTTCAAACATCAGAAGCAAAGGAAACTTGTTTAATTGTTACGAATTTGAGTGGGATCCAAGCAAGGGAGCAGGAGTTTATGTCATTGTAAGCAGTTATTTGTAGCTTGTTTTGGACAATTTTTGTCT